TCGTTTGTTGATAGCCCAAAGCTGGAAGAGTCCAATTCTGCCTACAATGGAAGACTGGAGATTGAAAGTGTCGAATCTTGCTGAAATGGCAAAGATTTCGGCTTACTTGAAGAATCATTCGAATGAACAATTTTTATTAATATGGAGAAGATGGATTGTTTATATTCAAAAGAAGCATAGATTGGTAGAATATAATTTAAGTTATTAGACTTTTTTCTACTTTGCTTATTTTTTTTTCTTTTTTTCATTATTTTTTTTTTTATAGATTAAGATACCTTGTGGAGTTAGAGATATTAGTATTTGTTTACTTATATATGAATATTATCCTGGGACTAGATTTGGGAAGTCCGGGGGGGGGGGATTTCATTAGTATTACTGTTTACTTGTATGACTGTTTGTTTTATGATGAAAATAATAAAAAAAATTTCTGGGAAAAAAAAGAAAGAAAGAAATGGTAGAAAGTAGCCTAACTTTTCCATCAGTTCAGCAACAAATAGAAGTCACCACAGAGATTCAAAACAAATGCCTGTTCTAAGACAAATGATATGGCACATAATGAATGCAGAATTAGTATAATATGGTTATGCATATAGTAATATTGTTGTTGTTTATATGACTGTGTACAAAATTCCAGTATTATCTTTCGGTTACCATACTGTATGATGTTTGCAATAGTGGCGAATATCTGTAGCTTGGATGTAGGATGAGGGTGAAGGTTCATTCTCTGAGCTTGTGGGTTGGTTTCCGAACATTTCCCCCCCCCCAAAAAAAACCCCAGCAGCCACGCTACCACCTGCCACGCTTGTGAAGCCTGGCAATCCACAAGCAATTCCATCAACAGACACATTGATCTGCAACCAGCCTACGAAACCCTCAGAATCCACATTAATCACCCAGCTAACCAGAGATAGCACCAAACCTCAACCAACCCACACAAGCCCCACTCCCCCCCAGAAGTTCACCTCCCAATGACTGTGGCCTGAGGTAATCTTCCCCTCCCAATGACCCTGACCTTTAGTAACTTCCCCATCACAAGACCCATCACAAGCCTCTGTCTGATGACTCATCACAAGACTCTCACTTGACACACCCACACCTGAAGCCCTTATAAATAGAAGAGCACTGGCACAGACATTCCCTAAAAGCCGCTGAAGATGTTACCTACCCTGGTAACGAAATGTTCAGAAACCAACCCACAAGCTTGGAAAACGAAACTTCACCCTCACTGTATGATGTCCTAGCTCCCCAAAATAAATTCAACGGTTCTTCCTGTACTTCCTGTTTCCAACTTTTAAAGAAAGATCATAACTCAAGTTTTTTTCTGGCAGTTGGACAACCTGATCTTCTCAGGGCAATGTTAGACAGAGTAGTTTGAGTACCAATTGGTTATTGATGTGCTATGTTTCTTATTAGCGAAGTGAATGGTGATGGTGCATAATTTTCCCTTTCCTCCTTCCTTCTCCCCCCAATCCTTTCATGGTTTAAAAATAATCTTGCACAGTCCAGCATCCACCTATCACATTTCTTATCTTTCTTTCTAGTTATTGTCCCCAAAATAGGAAGGATTTGTTATCTAACTCTCAAGTAAATAAAGAAAATGAATTCTTCCCCAATGTACCTGCAACAGTAAACACAAGACTAAATATCGTATCTTTTATTTTTCTCCTGAATGCCATTTCTTGATAACAGTATTTTTGTTGTTTTTTACCTTGTTGTCCCAGAAAGCTCTGGATTTGTTGATCCTGGCATGTGGGCCAATTAGTTATTAAATTAAATCAATTAAAACTTACTGAATAGCTTTATGCTAACAGAAAAAAAGGGCACTTGAAATTAAAGTTTTCAAAGCAGGTGCAGGGATTTGTTCAAAGGCCCTGAGTTTTAAAGGGTTACAATCAGGACAATCAAAAAATCACAACCTCGTGGATAAACACAGTTTCGTTGACTAACAGAGTTAGAACACACCCAAAAGCTGGAAACTGCTAGTCAGAAGGTGAACACAAAAGGTGTGTGCTGTTGTTGTTAGGGAAATATGATCCATTAAGGCAGTGATGGCGAACCTTTTAGAGATTGAGTGCCCAAAAAAACGCCCCCACCCCCACCCTAGCCCCCGCTCTGCCCCCGGCAGCTCTGCCCCCGCTCCGCCCCTGGTCCCACCCACTCCGCCCTGCCTGCCCTGTCCCCGCTCTGCCCCCACCAACCCGCAGGGCCACTCATCGCCTCCACGGCCAGCCGCAGATTGCCCAGGCGACCCAGCAGGACCATGGCGGCCATGCCCTCTACCCGCACCCTGCAGCATCAATTGCGCGTGATGGGGCGCGAGGGTGTTGTCCCCGCTGCCCAGCTGCCATGTCCTTGGCTGCACTGTTCCGCGCAGGCCATGCCCTGGTGCAACTCTCCTCCGGGGGGCTGTTGGGGAGGAGGGGGCCACGGGGGGAGGTGGGGCTGGGTGACAGTGTACGTGTCCACAGAGAGGGCTCTGAATGCCGTCTCTGGCACACATGCCATAGGCTCGCCACCACTGCATTACGGTTTCTTATCTATTAGCACAGCTGACTCCTGGCTCCTTCTGTCCTTCAGGGAAGGTTACTGCCTTTCCTCTGCTTGTGTCTGGCTGATCTTCAGAGGAAAGGAATTTCTGTTTTTCTAGCCACCAACTAATGAAGGTCAATCTGGGGCCATAAGCAATGTTCTTTTATTGCAATTATGCACCCTCCATTCAATCAGCCCTTCTCTTCATTTAAAGGTAACATACAATATTAAAACAACTAGTGAAGATATGTTTGTTTCTTTTATACAAGAAGGATTGATTGTGATGAAAACTTTTAAAAATTAAAATTTATTTAAATACTTAAAGTTTGAAAACTGGGGAAAGGATTCAAAAATTATTACAATGAGCTAATCAGAATTTGTACCGGAGACAAATTCCTTGTGTGTCTAACCACACTTGGCTAAATAAAGTATTCTATTAATTCTGTTAATTAAATCCAAATCACTTCTTAAAGCAGCTAAACCTCTTGGTAATTGTTGGTATATGTTTGATATATGGTATATGTTTGTGTACATGTACTAGTGTATGCAGCCGATGACTGTTTTTCAAAAATACCCTATTGTGTGTTCCCCAGTATTAGAGATTTGTTGGAACTAAGGACTGAATTTTTATTTCCATAGATCCAATGACATATTAGTTTTTTGAAAAGTTAAAAAAAGCCCAAATGTCACAGAACTTGATTTTTTTTCTTTCTCCCTTCTCACAATTTTTCCCCAACTTTAATAAGCCTCTTTTGTAAATCCAATATAGGAAAAATTATCAAATCACTATTTTAGTTGGTTGGGGAATTCTGGGAGTTGAAGCCCTTAAAGTTGCCAAGTCTGGACACCCGTGGCCTAAACCAGTAATGGATAATGTCTTATTATGGGCCATTTATTTCCCATAAAGCTTCTTATCTAGCTTGCCAGAGACATTTCCCCCCTGAAATTCTATATCTTGGTTCTATGGATCAACAGTTTTCTAAAGTCCTTGAATTTCTCTAGGAAGAAAAGCTTTGTCTTAGTCAAGAAAAACTATCTTAGTCGAGAGGTTTTGCCCCCAAAGAACAGTTGCTGAAGTCTTGCTTATCCTTCAACTTTCTCATTGGAAAAAACAAGAAACAAGGCAACAAAACAAAGGCATTCAGGAACTGCCCCACCCCTCAACTTCCACAGATCTTTTATTTAAGGTCAGATAAATATAGGAAAAGGAATGTCAATTTCATGATTTAATTTTTAAAAAACAAAAACAAAACAAAACTCTTTCTTTTTTTAACAGCAAATCTTCGTCCCGGAGCAGAACAGAAAGTGGTGTTTATTACAGGCCGTGTCCATCCAGGGGAAACACCATCATCTCTTGTATGCCAAGGTGAATAGTTTTATATGTAAGAATTTGAATGAAATTCAAGAACAGAAGCTTCTTATCTCTGTGTGGAACCTGTCTCTAGCCATTACACTTATTAGCCTCTGCTACTTAAAACTGCATGCTTGATAGTTTTCGTTTAAATTTTAAATGGGGTTGATTTGGAACTACACATCTTTCTGCCACCTTATGGCCATCAGGATTAGCCCTAGAAAAATTCCAGTCTGAAATTTTGGAGGTTCTGCTTCCAGTCAACGTGCATGACTGTAATCTAGATAAATCTATGGTTGACATCAATATAAGAGACTTTCTAGTTAGGGAGTCCAAATGTTGCCATAAAACAAACCTTATTCAGCATGTGGAAGGAAACTGGATTTAAACTGAGTTTAAGAACATATCACTGAATAAGTATTTTTGATAAAATACTCCTTCAGTAATGAGTTTTCTGACAAAACAAACCCTGCAGCTGATAAGACTGTGCTACAGTTGGAATGCATTCCTATATAAGATTATATGAAACGGCTCATACCTTACACAGCCATTATAAGAATTGCTAGTTGGGATACTTGAATAAATCTTCCATTTAGAAGTTGGTTTCTCTCTTAAGTATCATAGAAGGGAAATATAGATAATTATGTTTACCCTGATGTGGGAATTATTGTGGAATGGCAGGACAAAGTTATGCTGAATGGGGAGGAAAATAATAAAGCATTGGAGAAATGGCTGAGAGTAGTCATTGTAAGCTTGCAAACATTAAATTCTTACAAGACAAAGATGAGCATGGACAAGTGTATTAGAAACTTGCTTGTCAGCAGCAATATTGCATGCTTGACTTGTTTGTGAAAGGAAGGACTGGAAAATGGTGGATTTCCATCTACAATGAACCATTGGACTTACTGTCTCTTGAGTATTTGCTTTTTGTGTGTCATTAGTATTCTAAAGACTGATGAAGAATTAGAGTAAATCCACACCTTTCTCATGAAATAATAATAATAATAATAATAATAATAAATTTAATTTATATGCCGCCCTTCTCCCAACGGGACTCAGGGCGGCGCACAACATATTTAAAACAAAACATAAATACATTCCCCCCCGATAAAACCGAATTAAATCAAATTTTAAAGTTGTGTCTCTGTCGAATTGTTAAAAAATAAACCCCAAATAAAATCCTCCCTAGGTCAGGTCCGCTTGCTGGAAGAGCCATGTCTTGAGGGCGCGACGGAAAGCAAGAAGATCCGGAATCATCCGGATCTCGGGGGGTAGTTCGTTCCAGAGGGTAGGGGCACCCACAGAGAAGGCCCTCCCCCTGGGGGTCGCCAGCCGACATTGCTTGGCCG